AAAAAAATCTACAAAATAAAACAGTTATTTGTTTGTAAACACAGTTAGTTATACGTCCAAAAAAGAGATGGGTCGATGACGTCAGGGCAGTGGCGGGAAGACAATGGATAAGATTGGCTAGAGATCGCGAAGCATGGAAAAACCTAGAAGAGGCCTATATCCAACACTGGATGGAACCAGGCTGAGAAAGAAGAAGAAGAAGAATTCTTAATCTCTGAAATTACCATGGTAACGGCTTTACTCTATGGTTACGGCACTAAAGAGGATGCAAATACAAAAAAAACATCCATAAAAAATCTCTCAAAATGTATTAAAAATATATTTTTTTTTAATTTCCAAACGGCAAAAAAAATTTGAAAACCGGCAAAGAAAAAATAAGTTTCTTTTATCGAGATCTACCAGACCTGAAAATATTTGCAGTTGTTTAAGTCTTACCCCGTATAGGTTATGCCATTTAAAACAGTCGAAAATAATACACAAACAATTGCTTCACATTGTTTTTTAACAAAATGAATACAGTTATGTTATAACCGCCACACATTTTTGAAGTACCCTGTATATTCAAAATATTTTTAAATTGTGTCTATTAACATTCCCCTGAATAATTATTCTATTTAGCATTTTTTCGAAATTCTTAAAACATTATTTATACATCAGTGATATTGAAATATAAGATTAGCTATCAAAATAAGTATTATTATTTAAGTGTATACGGAGTGATAATAATTTCAATGCCCACTACCGATATCTTAAAAACTACGAAAGAAACAGAAACGTCACCTAAAATGTTGGGGCACAACTCCTCTTTGAGATAGTGGAAGTATTAGAACATGGTAAGAAAGTAACTAAATAACACCTATAGCGAAACTTAACTACCAAGCGAGCACGGTAACTCAGAATGTAAACCATACCAGAGGCAAAACTTAATTAAACAGGAGCTAAGGAGAGAAACGGATTTTATACAGAATTGGAGAAGCCCACTTCGTATTTTTGTATCGCTTGATGTTACTAGAGGCTGCAGAAATGAGTAGAGACCACAATCAAACCAAACCAAACTCAGTATATGAAGGATACCAGAGGTAAAGGCAATAAAGAAGAAAGTAGGATTTTATAAAGGATTACAGTTGAGTTTTTTATGAGGACCTTTGGTGGAACACAGCAAAATAAAAACACTAAATCATCACAATACACCAAAACACTTTTACTTTTACACTGGACGCGCGTTTCACTAACCATGTTAGCATCATCAGCAGATGATTAAAAACTTGATTGCAAACAGTTTTTAATCATCTGCTGATGATGCTAACATGGTTAGCGAAACGTGCTTCCAGTGTAAAAGTAAAAGTGTTTTAGTGTATTGTGGTGATTTAGTGTTTTTATTTTGCTTTTATGAAGGAAGTGGAGGTGGTGGATTATATGTCATCTCAAGTCATAGGAAAGTTGTAGATGCATACAACTTAACTTAGATAGGAACTCCCCTAGGAGATGCAAGACTTTGTTGTTGGTGGGGAAGCTCCTGGTCAGGTGCTGGGAGGAATCTCCTCTAGCATTTGGCTTGGTCTAAGAAGTATCTCACTCATCGTCTTGTCTCTGACTGTAGTGTCGTGGCCAGGGAATTGCACCAAGACATATAACGATACCGGGCGGGGCTACGGACAGCCTCAACCTTGGGGCACCGGGGGGCACCCCATTGTATTTTACCCCTTACTTCTACATGCGGGGCTCTGTAGAAGTGGACCGACTGTCCCTAGCGACTCATAGGAACACTATGAGATCTGGTAATAATAGTAATAAAAACATCACCGGTGAAGCTGTAGGGAAACCCCCTAGCAACACTGGGAATAGTAACAATAAAAGTTCCAAGGGGCCAAACCCAAAGCGAACTACAGGAGAGGTGGCTGACACTTGCGTGAGACCATCCTCCGTAAGTGGCATACAAGCTACCACCTCCTCCAAGGGTCGGGAGCATACCGTTTCGTCTACCCGGCCTGGGTCATAGCTCCTCGACTGTGAGGGACACGGGTCTCCGTAGGAAGTCCTGGGACTGTATGATGAGTTATAACTCAAGAAAGGGGGACACAATAGATCTCTAAGATCGCAGAGATTAACCCCCCTCCCACTTATTCTAATTCTAATTCTAGATAGGAACTACTAATAATCGCAAGCTAATGGAAAGACTACGCAGAATACAACGCATTACATCTATTATATGCAGCACTTACAAAACTGTATTTGGAGAGGCTATAGGAGTTATAGCTGAAATAGCGCCTATTGATCTGCTCATACATGAACGATATGATAGATACCATGGGATGGGTAAAAATCTAGTAAGGACAAAACTTCTCCAACAGTGGCAAGAGAAATGGAATAACGGAATATGACAGATAAACATACAGGTTAATACCCGACATACAACTAGGGTTAAACAGACAAGAAGTCGATTACTTCATGAGTCAACCATCGTCTGGCCATGGGTGTTTTAGAAAATATTAATATACGATCGTCGTAGGGTTGATAGTGCATCATGCATCTACTATGGTCAAGAATTTTTTAGGGAACAATTCCGTATAGAAACCGACAGAGACTTTGACTTACCCGCATTTATGATGTACTTAGTTAAAGGGGAACGACAATGGAAGGTATAATATATCGGATAGTCCGAAATGTAATAAGTTGTAAAGGGAGGGCAGAGAGACAATGAGCATCATGAAGTAAATCTATAGACACCCTTTGCACTCGAAAAAAAAAGGAAATATCGGAAACCAATAGCCATCCTGTCTTATATTGGACGTTGGTCAAAAAATGCCTAGAGTATTTGAGCAAATTAGGCAAAGAAAGAAGAGAAATAAAATTCTCCGCTGCAGATCCTTGTCTGTGATAAAGATCCTGAAACAACAGAGCACACAATCACTACGAGGCTCTGGATCGCAAGCGACACTTTTTATTTGGAAACGCAAGGCTAGAACCGGAGGAACTATGCTACCGTCCTATCAAGCACCTGCCTAAGTTGGTGCAGGATACAGGGATAGGGGAATGGATGCAGACATAGAAAGGGAACAAACACAATAAACCTCACAGGCCGCAATGTTTCCGGCACTGAACTGGAATGGGGATTAAAGAATTTTGTAACTTGCATAATTTTCACAACTCCAATGGTTTACATCGATCTTATCATCACCCTCTATATACACTAATACCGGCTAACACCGACCAACACTCGTCGGCATTAACCCAACCAACCCCAACACACTACCTGTGCGGCTTAAAATTGTTCTGGTGGCCCAGTGGCGGCGACAGTGCGAAATCGACGGGCCCGTACCTGCTGGCCTGCGACACGGTCAAGTCCTCCGGGTCGTTGTCGCCGCAGATGGAGCTGCCCGCCTCCGAGGCCGCCCCCGAGTAGGCGCTCTTGGCGTCCAGCTTCACGTCGGATCGCCGAGGTCCGGTGGGAGACGCTCGGGCCCGCAGCTCGGCGGGGCTGATTTTGACGCCGGCCTTCGCAAGCAACCTATAAAGTCAGTTTATCTATTATACCTACTAGTAGGGACAAAACAAAAAACATATAAGAATATTTATGTTGAGTGATAAAAAAGGAGAATTAATATACAGGGCGGCACCCCTACGACGTGCGCGAGGCTCCAAGGAGAACGACAGTTTGTATTGAAATGGAATTTTGAGAGCGTATGTAGGTTGATTTAGAGTTTATCGAAAAATATAAAGTTTACAGGCTTAAGGGTATATTATATTAGAGTTATTGGGTTCTCAAAAACATCAAAGTTGTGGTTTTTCTAACGGAACACCCTATATATTAATTTTTATTTTCTAAAAAGTAACTACAGAAAAAATAAAGGTGAGTTTCATTAAAGAAGTATATATTAATTTTTTTCATGTAGGTGGTCCATTACAAAAACACAACTTGATGAGTAACTTTTTTAGGGACACCCTGTAGAACTCCATATTTTAAAAAAAATGCTCTAAATCAACTCCACATATGCCCACAAAATTCTTTATTTCAATACAAGCTGTAGATCTCCTGGCAGCCTCTGACTTAGCAATCGATTAGGTTTTCAGCTCTATCGTTGACCAATCCAGTTGGACGTGTGTGTAACCTGGGCTTTAAGAGATTCAAATACTTTTTAAAACCATCCACCTATTCTACTGAAAATCGTTTACCTGCTAGCCAGTTCCGGATCGAATGGCGCTGGCATCGGCAACACAGGAAGATCCTTCGTACTGATCCCCCGATGCTGTCTGGACATGTGCGAATGGAGGGAATTCCTGGACTTGGCCACTGTACCACACAATACGCACCTGTAGCCAGGACATATCGTGTGCTTGTCTTCCAAATGTGTTCTTAACGTGTGTGCGGACCTGTAGATTTTACCACATTTCGGACAGGGTCTCGGATCTGTGGCTCTCACTCGCATCATATCCAACGATCGTCTTGAAACTGAAAAGAAAAAAGCATGGAATAAGACTCTCTTTATGATATTACTTAAAAGATAAAACAGACATCTTCAAATTTTCTTGTATTGTAAAGTTTAAAAAACATATTGTTCTGGTGAACCGATTTTGATGGTTTTCTAGCAATTTGTAGCTAAATTATTTGACGTAAAAGTTCGATACACCCTGTGGAATGGTTTACATAGATATAGATTGTAATGGGAAGAGGAAACTCTCTTTATGATACCAATTAATCAGTTTAAAAAAGAATTTCTGGCTATCTCAATCCTGTACTTTATTTCTTGTAATATTGTTCGGCAGTTTCATTTATCATTGTGCACGAGTATTTGTAGTATTGGACTTTTTCTATTGGGGTATTTTAACTCTTTGGCGTATAATTTAGCTACAAATTGGTTAAAAATCATCAAAAATCGGCCCCTAGAACACAATATATATTGACCCTAAAGAATATGAAAATTTCAGTCAGTCTATCTGTTTTTGGAAGTAGATGTTTCTTTCATGTCTAAAATCCCTAATATTGGTTTGAAAGTGGTTGAAAATGTTGAGTTTTCAAATACCTAATCATTTTGGACTGACACTTCTTTTTAATTTGAAATTTACACAGAGTTTTGGCGAGATATATCGCATATCACTGACTATTCATTTCAGCATATTGCAAAAACACAATGTAAGATTTAAAAAATATATGCTTCTAACAATTCCAAACTCGAGTTAATATATATTTATTACTATTATATTAATTTTAAATTTATGGCATAGTCCTTACCAGAAATAAAATGAATATATGATAAACTGTAAAGAAATAATTGTATTTGATTATAATAAGTCAAATATTAAACAAACGTAAGTTCAAAACTAAATCTTTATTTCTGATGTGTATATGTACATATTTGAAAAAGAGATTCTTATACATGTAAATAAGCAAGATGGTATCAATTTTTATACAATACATTCCGTGGTCCAGACTTTATTTTCCCTTATTTTAAAAATATTTAAATAAGTCTTTGAATACGACACTTATGTGACTAACAATGCGCCACAGTCATATATTTCGTTGCCTAGATAATACATTTTTATGTCTTCCTTTAGGTACATAGATGTTTAATGTTTAATGGATTTAAAAGCGTCACAAGATCTATAGCCCCCCATGCACCAAAAGATCGGACCTGCGGCCTGTAACGTACCAAAACCTTCGAATTTTGGTCTACGGACTTGACCTGCCGATTAGATCTTTGTCCGATTAAATATTCTCGTTTGGGACAAAATTCGACGTTTTATAGGAATTTTAATACAGATAAATATTTATCGGAATAAAAACTGCGGCTTAGAAAGAAAGAGCGTATCTTCCGTTCGTTTTTTAGACTAATCAAATCAGCGGATTTGGCCTGTGACAGGCTTGCCCCACGAATGCAAAGTTTTTATCCTCAGGCCAAGTCCGCAGGCGAAATCCGCAAGCTAAACTTTCTGGTGTATGGGGAGCTTTTCTATGCTATTAATATTTTGAAATAGATATGTACATTTTTGTTCTTTTATTTTGATAAAAGAAAACACATTTTTTTAATTGATTCTATATAACTGTTTAATTATACATAGTTATTTATATATAAGGCTATAATTGACGCCATGAAGTTTTATTTATACAAGCTATTTACTGTAAGCAGCAATATAATTAGTTATTAAAAATAAATTTTATATTTTAAAGTCTACTTTATTATATACAGGGTGTCAGAGAAATAAGTGCAAGTATTTTAAATGGTAGTATAGTTCAACCCCAGAAACACGCCTATGAGTATGTATGGGAATATATGAGATCTATGCGTTTTCTTTTATTTAAGTATAGCTTGATAAGTTATTTAAAAAATAATAATAGCTGTAATTTATATACTATACATATACATACTATAAATACATATTATATCAATAATGCGAACAATTTAAATATACAGAAGTTACCAGTGAACTCAGAGACGAGATGGCTCCTTATTAGTGATGGGATGAAGAAAATTGCCGAGTACTCGATTATTGTAATAACCGACATCGCTCGATTATGAACGAGCGATGCAAGTGACGAGTACCAAGCGACGAACGCAAGCGATCCTAGAATGAAATAAATTGAAATCCGATTTTAATGTGACATACTCGATAAAAAGCCGAGTGAATTTTCTACATATATTGCAGGTAGCAAATTTATACGACGTCGTATATTATATATTTATTCGCTCCGTATCTGAGGGACAAAATTTTGCGACCTACATCGACAATGTTTCGAAATAAACTAAACCAAGCGATCAAGCAAATCGCTCGCCGCTTACTACTTGCCATTCATCACTGCGCACACAACTTACTGCTTCGCGCTTGGCGTTAACGAGTACTTACAACAAGCGACGGGTGAAAACCCGTACTTTTAAATACGAGTAATATTTCGCTCGAGCGATCACTCGGATATTGCAATCGCTTGAAAACTCGAGTACTCGATTTATTGAAATTAATCGGCTTTTCCTATCAATTCTTTTTCATTTTTTTGTCAATTTTGTTTTGTTGATCTGATCTATCAGTTGTTGCTTTTACTTTTGTACATGTTTTGTTTTAAGCGCTTATTATAAGTAATTACTTATTTTGTGGTCTCTGAATTTGTTATGTAATTTGTAATTGATGGAGAACGACCAGTTTGCTGTTGAATGGTGTATATTAAATAAATAAGATAAAAATAAATAATTAAATAAATAAGTAAATAAGCTTCGCGAAGAAATGTATAACCACAGCTTATCACCACCAGCTGGTCATCTTTACTAGCTTTTGAGTATACAGGCTCCTATAAGAGGAGCTTCATTGAAGTCTAGAATCCGACTTGTTACATAAGATAAGTGAATATCTATGTAGGTACGCAATGTTCCATATTTAAATAACCGGCTGTCCAACGTAAAGCTGTGGTACAACATTCAATTTTTTTACTGTATAAACAGAAAAATTATACAAAAATATTGTTAAAAGTTGTAAATGTAAAATAGTTTGTTATAAATAATCAAAGATATTAAAACACTAATTGCCTTTGTAAATATGGCTAGAAAATAAAACAAATCTTAGTTTCTGTTTTTTCAAGGTAAAGTAAGTATTAAATTCCATTATCAAAGTAATTTTGTTTTAAAGCTTTAACTTAAAATCTTGATAAGTATCATCATAGAACAACTATTACTCGTGTGTTTGTCTAAAGAAAGGATGTGACAGTAGTGTTATTACTATTAATTAAAAACCTGAAAATATATCTTAGCTGTATTTACTGGTTAACTATTTACTACTCACTGGTATGTCGAAGAGCTTATCTAATATCCCTCTATGATCTAATAATATTTTAAATGTTTCAAAATTTAATGCTTTAATTTTTAATTCATCAAAGTGACTACTATTCCAATTTCTATGATGAAGTCATCAAACACTAATGAATTCTATCACAGCCTGACTAATATAGTCTAAAAATTAACAATTCTTATTGGAATTACCCTCTAGCTTATCTAGATATTTTGGAGTAATATATTTGGTCACTTTTGTCAGTCAACAGTTGCACAAATGATGCTATGTTCGGCCTTTTTAATAATGCATACTCTAGCCTGAATAAACATCACTCTACAGCAACAATTTCCTAAGGCGTTGGACTGTGTAAATCATAATATATTAATTAACAAATTTCAATACTATGGATTCAGGGAGTGCCGCTCGAATGGCTTAAGTCATATCTTCGCAACAGAAGGCAGCTTGTGAGGATTGTTATGTCTATGTCTTCTTGTAAACCTATACTGGTTCAGTATCATCTCTATTTTGTTTTTCTATGCCATCAACGACATTGGAAATCTAGACATTAGCGGTAAAATCTGCCTCTTTGCGATAGTACTAGTACGATACTAGTTTCACTTGGAGCGGCCCAGATGTCACGGCACTATATGATACTATATGCTATATCACCATTAAATCTTAGTGCGATTCTAATCTCCTATGCCTCAACCTATCAAAAACTAAAGTTTCTGCCATATAAAAAGTACTATACAACCTTTTGTACTTAATAACGACACTATTGGACTCTGTGAAATTCTTAGGACTTGTTGTAGACAACTCGTTAAAATGGGACTTTCACATCGAAGCTCTACCAAAGAAACTAAGCGCTGCCTGTTTTGCGCTAAGATCAGTTTCAAAGGAACATAACTTATCAACATCTAGAATTATTATTAACTTAATTAACAACTTATCAACATATTATGCCCTTTTGAGTCACATCTTCGTTATGCCCTCCATTCTGGGGTACTTGCGCAACAAAATTTGATCAAATTTTCAGACTTCAAAAGAGAGCAGTTCGATATTTATTGAGACTGAACAGTAGAACTCACTGCCAGAATTTCTTTAAAAATTTCCAAAACATTTTTTTTTTTATTTTTTCATTTTTGAATCCGTTTGTTAATTCGCAAGCACATATCTGCTATTCCCGGAAGGCCACCTCACAACTATCCACTTATGAATCGATCTTTATCTGCCAACCCCGAGCTCAGAAAGTTAAAAGTTGAATACTGTAAATGCCAAAAAATGTACAATCATCTGCCTTGAATATCAAGGTCGCTGTCATTCTTTCCCGCATTTCAAAAGCTCTAAAATCATAACTACTGGAGAGAGCCCTAAATGCTGTAAACGACTTTTTTGTTGATGTTAAATCATGAACAATTTTGAATTTTAAAATTTGATCGTCCCACAATAATTTGTTTGAAAAGTCAAGTATTTAGTATTTTATAATCCTTAAAATTATATCTATTTACAATCTTCCTATTGTAGAATTTTGGCTGTACGCCTTTTTTGTGTTGTGTGTTCTATTTGTACCTTAATGACTTAAATTTTTGAATTGCATGATTTGTATTGTATATTTTTTTGTGCTTTGTTTGTTTTGTAATGCTTTGTCGATGAAGCTATATTGGCTTTTTGCACAATAAAGCGTTATTGGTTTTGTTG